TTTTAAACTACTATACATAAAAAAATAATTATTTTAGAAGCTCTGTATTGAAAATTTAAAGTAATTCTAGGAAAATGTGAAGATATAATATTTAAATTAATTTATTACAGTACATATCTTAGACAAACTGCCTGTTTTCTGGTGTAGTTCAGTAAACAGATTAATTTTAATGTCTAATGAATTATTATTATATTTAATTATACTAACAAAATTCCTTACTCATTTAACAGCTAGCTAGCCCTATACCAAGTGCGAACGATTAATCAGGCTAACTTACTTACTTAGAATTTGTAGAATAAATTATTTTAAAACCGAGATTTACTCAGCGCAAGTCTGGGTCAAGGTTTCGGACGAACTTAATTATTTTTCACCGAACCCGTTATGTTGTGATTCTTAATTATTTTCGTAGATTATAGACGTTAAATTTTAGCTTGGGTATAATTTTATGAGTATAGGACTATACAGTTTTCATTTAGTCTAATAAACTTTTAAGTGTGATAAATGTCCCAAAAAGTAACAAATTTTATGACTAAACTAACTAACTAACGTTCCTCTTGAATTACTCTATATATTTCTGAAAAGTGCATTAAGTCATTGTGTAATTTAAAAGATATCATCATACAAACAGCGACGGCGAGTTTGTTTTGAACTATGTAAAGATATATAAATTAAAATACATAAATACACAATGTTATACTCATATCTTCTTATTTTAAAATACGTGAATTAAAAAACCTGCTTAATAATTTATACACTTACTACATTATTACATGAAATTATTAAGAACCAAATTGAATATATTAAAATTTAAAATAAAAAAAAACTTTAAAGTGAGCTTCACTGGTGAAATATATTTATTTTTTTATTTGTACTTAGTTTTTTTTAATTCTTTGAAAGATATTTATTTTATTCCTGTTGGAAAGAATTCAGTTACATTCATTACCCTTACTCCGCATCCCTATCCCGAATATTCTTTTATTTCCTGCTCAATCCAATGATAATAAACATAATCACAAATGAAGCACGTAATTTCATATAGGTCTATCAGGTAGAACGAGCGCCCGAGTAATGGGTTTGAAAAAATGTCTGCAAAGCCGAATTTTGTGGGAGTGTATTCAACATTTGGGTCAGATATCACAAAAGACAGTGTAGCATTAACAGTAACGAGAGTTTACTATAACTGGCGTGGTGTAATTATAAAGCGGACGACGGTAATTTTATCTTTAAAATAATGTAATGAAATGGTGTAGTTAAAATGGAGCACCTTTATTTTTGTAAATATAAAAATGTATTGTTATATTAAAGGTAGTAACGGTAATTGAAGTTTATGTTTTATATTAAAAATCACGACACAATTCGGAACCAGAATTGACAACGATTTAAAAATGGCAGCCTACGATAATGGTAGGTATACGATAGTGAAGCGGAAAATTGGTGTTGCCGCGATCTCGCCCTCCTTGAGCTGAGCGATCTACCATCAGATATTTAGGTAGTAGGAATCCGGCAGTACCTATATTTATAGGGATTTAAGAGGTTAAGAAATGGTTCGGGTCATTTCAATATATCCGAGTATTAAAAATTATTCTATTACTAATTTCATTTTTATTTCTAACTAAATAAATTTAGTATATTATTTAAATATAACCTCAGTATAGAGTTTCTTTAGACCTAATGCGGGTTCTGTTGTTTTAAGTGACCATGAAACACTCAAACGATCCGATAAGATCCCATCTAATTTAGTTTATATGAGTTTTGTAATATATATATACTATAACCTTCTGACTGCCACATGCCTTTTAATACTTATATATATATGAGGCAGGCAGAAGAATCTATTATATAAAGTTTGTGTTAAAATGTAATAATAATAAAGGGAGATGTATAATATATGTAAATATAAATAAATAATAATAATTTATTTGAAACATAAACGTGTGTACAAAACTATGAAAAAAACGGCGATATTCATAGAGGCATAAAACAGTTTTGCGAATATGTATGCCCTTCCGAGTTTATATATCTAAAATATCAAAAACATTTATTTATGATATGATCAAATTTTTACTTAATTTTACCATATACAATTGACAAGAACTGGCAAGAAACGCAATTGAATTACTTTTTTTTTTTAAGCCAGTTTATTTACAATGTATATTTATATAGGTGTCTATGTCTAACATTAAATGAAAATTCAGTGCATGAACAACTATTACCATGCACTCGTCATTCAAGTAATCGTTTAGTGAGTAATAGGCTTTGCTCAGTAAATATGATTTAACAGATGTTTTGATTACATATGCTATGATGTTACTTAAGTACCATATACAAGATGCCTATGATGTTTTTTCGGACTACTCTAATTCTATTGGCCGCAGCTTTACAGCTTCACCAGACGATAAGGGGCGAGTGCAAATGGCAGTCCAAACCCGCGGAAGGACTTATGGAGCGGCTGAAGGCTAACTCCCGCTTAACGGATTACATTAGTCTGAGGTCATCGCTAGGGGTTCGAATCTCGACTCAGGCTGTCGTAATTTCGACCCCTGTTTGAATTGGACGAGGGATCGATCGGAAGGGAGACCTATGATGTTGTGATAGATGCATATTAGAGCTACCTACATACATGCGTCCCACAGTTGAATAATATGCTTAATTGCACACAAATGAACTATAAAAACAAGCTTTATATGTATATATATGTGTATATAACTCAATGGTGACAGACATAGTGATCTATCAACGCACAGCCCAAAGCACTGGACGGATCGGGCTGAAATTTGGCATGCAGGTAGATGTTATGACGTAGGCATCCGCTAAGAAAGGATTTTGATTAATTCTACCCCCAAGGGGATAAAATAGGGGATGAAAGTTTGTATGAAACTTTGTCAATTTTAAACCGAGCGGGCTGAGACTTTGCATGCATAAATCTACTGACGTAGGCACCCTCTAAGGATTTTAATAAATTCCACCTCTAAGGGGATAAATTAACGCGAGCGAAGCCACGGGCAAAAGCTAGTTCGCATGATATTTATATTTAATAGCATACAAATTTATGAATAGGTAGGTAACAATAATTTCAGTTAACGACTTTGTTTACGCAAACAGACGGAGTAGGATTCTTTCGCATTCTGTACGGTTAATGAACTAATTTCATTTTATACAACCAATAACGGAGTTGATTTACGTCGTTGATTACCTATATGTACAAATAAATAAAATTAAATTGTCAGTTTGCACGTTCAAATTAACAGTTTTTTAAATAAATACATGTGAACGTACTTATAGCGTACATAAATAAATGAATGGTTAAAAAAATGTCTGTCTGTTTATTCTACTTTATCTCTAAAACGACTGAAACGACTTTGACAGAACTTTTAACTCGCTAATCATTAATAATTTAAAAAATAACTTTACTTATTTTTAAAAAAATATTTATTTTTATAAAAATAAATATGTACGGGTAAAACCAATTTTATTATGAAATTATGAATGTTGAAGTTTTCATTTTCTCCCCGGAAGCCATCGTGGTTATTTCCTCGTAAATTCACCACTGACCTCTTGATGATAGGATGAGTCTGAAGCTCATCCTATCATCCTAGTTAATACCTAATACCTAATACCTAATACCTGATACCTAATACCTAATACCTAATACCTAATACCTAATACCTCGTCAGCGTACACGTTTAGCGTAGGCAGTTTTACTTTTAACAAACACTAGCATACCCCTCACGACTACTATTTCACATGGAATAATCAGAGGCAGTGGTGACGTCATAGTTAAAGTACCACTTGGTATGCCTACATAACACGGGGTATAATATAATCTAATCTGGTAGGGAGCAACCCTACCGTCGTCGTTTGAATTAATTTTTAGTTTTGTAATCAGAGTTTCTTTCATCTCAGTGTCAGTCAGAAATTTTTGTGTCGCCCAGATTTGAAATTATGATCGTCAGAATGTAGTCGGCAACAATACTCTTAAATAAATGATCTTAGAATATATATATATATATATATATATATATATATATATATATATATATATATATATATATATATATATATATATATATATATATATATACATATAATATATTGCTACCAACTGTGTAGAATGATTCTATAAGTAAATTCCATTTTTTTCAAGCTATTCTAATGCAGCTACCCTTAACAGCTTCACAAACCCGCGGAGTACTTTTGGAGCGGCTGAAGACCAAATACTAACGGATACGACTTTAGTCTGAGGGTACTGTTAGGGGTTCGAATATCTGCTCAGGCCGGTGTAATTTCGATCATTACTTGAATTGGACAGGGATCGAGCGGAAGGGGCAAAATCCACGTATACAATAAAGTGTTAATAAAACACAAAATTACACAACATTCCTTTTTAATTATAAGAAATCTCACAATAAAGTCTTGACTGGATCTTATCCATAAACGGCAATATGCACAGCGAATATAATATTTTTTTCACAAATAAAATTATAAACTTACATTACTTATCGCTTACATACAAATTCCATACAAATATTTACATTGGCCCTTATTCATGAACGAATTTATATAACTACACAATATTATGTTTAACGACAGATATAATATATTCACGATTTATCAATGCAAAGCGAATGATTTTCAATAAAAAATAATAGAATTTTAAATAGGTTTACGAATAAGGGCGTGAACATTTAAATTTATAATTATTATATTGTCCAAAATTCATATCGAACCGTTACTAAAATTTCAACTTAGGTGTAACTAAACGCGATACCCTGTTTATTTGAGGATCGACCCCTTTTAAACAATTATAAACAATTTCATAGAATTTGTACAGGTTATACGTATATTGTGTTTAGTTTAAAGTTGTTACAACATAAATAATTTTGTTAATGCAAGTTTAGCTATTTTACGCATGTAGTGAGTTATATAAGTTATATTATTTAATGTAGTTTTATATAAAACGATAATGTACCGGTATCTCTGATAGAATTTACATAATAAAATTTACACAAAATAAAACTAACCATCAACGTATTAATATTAGACATTTTTTAATTTGGGATTTTTATATTTATCGACGACATAACAATCTATGCATAAATTTAATATAATTTATACAGTTTTTTTAGAATTAAAATTATAAGCGATCCGTAATTAAATCCTCCATATATTTTCTAGTATAACTATATATATAATTAAAATAATCCTAACATTTTTAATTCCATTATGACTTTAATCAAATATATAAAAAGATAAGTGGACAAATCAGGAAGTATGTCGAATTTACAATTGGATTTTGTATATTGACTCAAACGAGATTCGAAATCGAGATTTCCAACTATTTAAAGCAATTACTAAGCTTATACAATTTCGGCTATTTTGTGAGAAGGAAGAGCACTTGAAAATTTACAGAGGTTTGTAATTAAAATTAAAAAATGTCTCTATTCATTTAGGCCCATTTACATATATTATATAATATATACATTTTCTTTGCAAGAAAACATTATTTACACCTATTGGGTTTTATATTAAGAAAAATATTTTTTTTAATATGAAAATTCATTAAACATATCTGTACAATTGAATAGCTACAATTCAGTTAATTTCGCACTTAACACACATATAAGCTATTTGGATTTGCTTGACAATTTTATTGTGAAATTGTGTATCTAATAATAATATATAGATATAATCCCAATAAAAGTTTTGGTTTTTTTTGGTAATTACACTTTGGGAAAAGACTAGAGAACTTGTTTTTATACACTTTCAGTTCATATTAACACTTGTTTAACACAGTCCTTTATCTGTAACAAAAATATTTTTTGTATTAAATATTAATTGTATAATTTTAAATTAGTATAAGATTAAATAAATATACTATATAATAATATTATTTAAATAATAATATAAAAATATGAGATATTTAAGTTTATTCAAATTGACTCTGTTCAAATTGAGTTTAAATTAAAAGCATAAAACAAAAGTATAGCCGTTTATAAGGTTTTCAATTTAAATAAATATATAATTCGTGCTGAGAAATTATATATAAATAATTTACATTCTCACCTTTTTTATCTTCCCATTATGATACAATAATTTGAGCTAACACATTTGTGAGAATTATAGTCAGTACCGTACAGAGTCTTGTACCTGAAACAAATTAATGCATTCTTATTTCGAATTTGAATATGAAATAAGTACATATACTGTGATTGATCGGATGAATGGATGATGTCGGGAATGGAGACTTTAGAGGAGATTAAAGAGGATGGTTCTGGGAATGGAGATTAGAGAGGATGGTTTCGGGATAGCAGAATACCTACTAGGACCTCGAATCTTCATTTTCATCCTCATACACATACACAGGATGACACAACATTTTTTAATGCCGGCTAAATTAGAATTTCTGATCTTTGGGAATTCGGGTTAATAAATGACTTGGCCATGACGCTATCGAAATATTAATTTTCTTTTATATCTCTACTAGGTACCGTTTCTTTAAAGTTATTATAGACAAAGTAACACGTTGCGTTTTAAAATTTCATTTATTCAATACTACAATAGCTTCTCGCCCCGGATTTGCAATTTATTTAACTACCGCCTCGTAGTAGTGTACATGTATTATACATACAAACCTTCCTCTTGAATCACTCTATCTATTGCTAAAACTGCATTAAAATCCGTTGTGTAGTTTAGAAGATATAAGCGAACAGACGTCAGCGGCGGTTTTGTTTTGTAAATATAGAATAAGTAATCAAAATAATACACTCATACCAATCACTTAATGGAGAATGAATACTATATTTAATTTATTTTCTGCTACTGGCATAGGCAAATAGAAGTATATATGTGGCGTTCTAACGAAAGTATTGATCTGTTGTATTGTGTTGTTGTGTTGTATTGTGTTTTAAATTATTAACTATGTACATAGAACCAATTTGAGTATCAAAATTTTCATATATTTGTTTTCTTTTTAAATTGCCTTTCTGTTTATCTACCCGGTATATATGTATAGTATCCTATCGAAATTGGATATTTGCATAAATGTATACTTCAGTTAAATAGAATAGAATAGATAATCTTTTATTCAAATAATATTTTAAACACTTCTGAATAGTCATAATTATTATTTTAATCTATCGCTCATTGTCTGCTGTCTCATCACAAGAAAAACGAGCAAGAAGCTTGCGTGTTGCTCCAACTGATGATAATTAAATACTAGTGACTGTGTGATGATGATGATGATGAAATTTGACGGTAGCTAATTAGTAATGCAGATACTTTGATAGAACAATAGAATTCTTAGTTTAGCATTAATTTATATATCTTAAGAATTTCTCTATCACTTTTGAATACATTTATTTTAATTGATGATGATGGAATAGTCATGATGATCATTTTCTCTTCAGTGCTAATATGCTGAGGAGAGGAAACAATAATAGATGAAAGGGTGTAGATAAATCAGGTAAGTTAACGTGGCAATTTATCTTAAATTACGATGGTTTCCCGAACAAACTAAATAGAACCAGACTGGATACTACAGTAAACGGGACCTACAGGTTCCATTACTAATAATTCGCATCGTATTCAAAGAAGTTCCTTCTAAACTATCGTGAACTTCACAGCTTCTCGCTGACTACTTAAAAGCCACTTTCTTTACTTTAAATAGGATATACATATATATATATTTATTTATATATATATATTGAATTGTAATTTTATGACATAAAAAAATATACCATTTTATTTTATCCTTTTTGCATCGATTTATTTTATATAGTTATCGAATACAATAGCTGTCTGCACATATAGAACCGAACATATATATAGATATAATATATAAATAAACATATAGTATTATCCACCACATAATAACTACAAATGTCTTCAGCTAGTAAATATACATGTCTTAATAAATAAGTAGTAAATTCGATGTTTGCAATATTTCTATTAATAGCGAGAATATTTTAAGGTGCGAATAGCATCAAGTATTATTTTTATGCCTCCTATCTTGAAATGTTATACTCTAAAGTAACCTTTATTAAAATATCTTGAACACAATGAGATTAGGCTAAAAAGAGGCTCCTCGATTAAATGACAGGTCTCACAAATTTCCTTTAAAATTAACAAGAATACTGTCAACAGCGAAATTTAATCTAGGGGCATTGTCTATCGCTTAATTACTGCAGTAATTGGAAGAGTAAAATCGAAGCTGCTCGCAAAAGCGACAGGTATTGGATTCGGGGGATCTGGAGTATCAATTTCCTTTTGATGTGCTTATCTTCTTAAAACTACAAAGTAACTTCCCATTCCAGAGTATGGACAAATTATTTTAACGTCGGTGGCCTGGCGGCTTGGATTAATTAAAGTTCTAGGTGTTCGATTCCCGTATAATACAAACATTTATTTATCTATTTGTAAATGTATAAGGGTGATATATATGTTAAACATGCCGTGATAATATGATTTGTCGTGATTATATCATATCTGTTTCCCCTCTTAACATATATTAATGTAATATATACATATAATATAGTATATATTACATCTGTCTACAGTCCACCCGTGACTAGGATGATAATGCCATTGAAATATGGCGAACTCTTAAATAATATTTTAATATATATATGATGTGTACAAATTAAATATTTTATTGATGTTATGTTTTTTCTATATCCTTTTTGAGTATTTGAACAAAAAGGCGAATCTAGTGTCTAGGACACATTTAGATTGTTATCAGAGTTACTATTACCACAGCCTTAGACAGAAAATTGATACAAGATTCTTTTTAAATCGGCGAGATTCGAACTCACGAACTTATTTATCTATAATACGGAGTTGTTAACTACTAGACTATGACGTTATGGAAACTTTAATATATTGTAAATTACCCTTCGAAACGCCAACTGCAGCCGCCAGTTGCATATCAGCCGCCGTCGGCATTTCAGGCGTCGTACTTATAGGACCTGCATAGAAAATTATACATATAATAAAGTAACATAACCATTGTGTTTTTTTATTCTATATGTTTTTATTTAGTTTCATTAGATTACTATATTACTATGTACATGTAATTGGTGAAGTAAAGAATTTGTCCGTCTCTATATCTATAATAAATATTTTTTATAGCACAGGGGACAAACGAGATTGCGGCTCACCTGACGGTAAGTGATTACCGCCGCCCATGAGCACCCGCAACACCAGGGGAATTGCAAGCGGGTTGCCGGCCTTTTAAGAAGGAATAAGCTCTTTTCTTGAAGGTTCAACATCGTATCGGTTCGGAAATATCATTGCTGGAAGGTAACTCTACAATGTGGTTGTACGTAAAATATAATATAACAAAACAAAAGTACAAACGGACTATTGAAACATTTTTTACGGTTTCATTTATTACATTAAAATTACGTATATATCTATATGTTAAGTATTTAATACAAGTTTTACCCGCGACTTCGTCTGATTTTACTGTATATTTATACGTCAAATTTCATTAGGATGCTTTCATTCATTTTCAGTAAGATCAATCCGTTTAGTCATGAAAAGGTAACAGATTGTCAAATGTAATTTCGAATTTACAATATAGATACGAAGGTGGGCCGGGAGTGGATGGATGCGGAAGGCGGAAGATCGCATATAGTAGAAGACATTGGGAAACGGCTATATCCAACAGTGGATAGAACAGGCTGAGATGACGAATATAGATTATGATTCAATACATTATATTCTACAATGGTTAGTATAATCTGTGGTCAAGTAATCAGAATGAAATAACGAGACATTCCTTATCTCATTCCTTTATCTTTTAATATCTTAAATCCCTAAAAGGTAAGAAACTGATATAGGAACTTTCCTTTATAACGAATACATAATTTCATAAATATAAAGACATTAATATGGACCATTATTTATCTGTGGAAAAAATATTCCTCGGAAAAAAGCAGTGGAGATCATATCCATCGGCCAATAGTAAATTACCTCAAGCCCTTAGGGACAACCTTCGGTATAACTAAAAAACTCAATCCATCATAGTAATACATCTTTCAATGTCTTAATCGTAATAAGAGTGGGTTTTGTATAACTGAACTGGCAACTGATAAGAAGTTGTAACTAGTATTAAAGGACATATGTTCATATGTATGATAGCCATTTTATCCCCTTATGTATTGCCATTCCTAAAAACTATTGTGTTTTTTTAATGGATCACAATGAAAGTCTCGTCTACACTAACAATACATGCTGGTGAGGTACCAGTGGAGGATGATAAGATGAGCATAACGTAAAGTCAGTTAGCCCATCGTGACAAATTCAGTATAATGATAGTTTCCAGGGGGCACCGCGTGGAGGTAACCGGACAACATTCCTAGCAATAGTGTTACTGTTACTTTACTTTTACGGTGTCCATATTACTAATAATAACTTAATAATAATAATAATAATAAATCCATTTATTGCCAACATCAGCACAGTTACACAGCTACACATTTATACATATTTAACATGGTACAAACTCAGCTATTGCCGCGTGGAGCGCTGGTTTTCAGTTTGTACGCAGGCCTTAATGACGTGCTAGATTCCACAACATAATGAAATAAAAATGGTAAATAATAATAATATTACAGATATTATTTTATGCAATGCATGTGCATCTACACAATAAAAAAAAAAATCACATTTTATGTCGAGACTATAGGGCTGTCTCTGTCTATAATATAATAACTTATGCGCTTGTAGCCTGTAATTTTACTGCCATATCTCATTTTTCAAAACAGAATACACCTTGCGAAGCAGCATTCTTATTCCTGCCGTCAAGCAAGCAACTAGTTTGACGGCAGAAATCTATACATCTATGCATATAAATAAAATTGGAGTATCTGTTTGTAATATTAAAATAACCATTTTGACTACATGCATATGAATATAAATACGGTACATACGCCAAAATAACATTTTTTACAATCTTTATCTGTCTGTCTATCTGTTTGTTCCGGCTAATCTATGAAATGGCTGGACCGATTTTGACGGGACTTTTAATGGCAGGTAGCTAATGTAATGAGGAGTAACTTAGGCTAGTTTTATTTTAGAAAAAGTCTTTTATTTTATAAAAATAAAGTTAAATTTCACGCGGACGAAGTCACGGGAATAGCTAGTAGGAAACATAGAGATATCTATATCACACTTTGCCACACTAGACATAATTAAACTACAAGCTAAGTAATATAACGATTTATATAGCTATTTAGTGTATACATAATATAACTTCATTCCAGAATATTTTTTAACAACCACCACTTGAATTCAATACTTCAACAACAATACTTGAACATCAGGTGAGATTGCGGTCAGCGGATCAGATTTCATAATAGAAAAAAGACAATCGTTTTCATTAAAAAAGAAATCTTCATAATGTAGAAGGTACATAAGTAAATTCTTGATCTCTCATTCTTGAATAAATTCTAAATGACGCTGTGTGAATTGTTCAGGGATATTATATTACCTTTATTATATCACGCACCGATTCAACATATTTATCCTTGTTTGTCTCATGCTCAGCTGTTTTTCAGGTGTTAGGTATCTTGTTTGGACTTTTTACAGTGTGTATAAGTTTTGTTGATTTTTCATTAACAAATCAGTGATAGCACCTAGTTTGTTTGTGTTGATTCTCCCACCCGCCGATATTCTATTAAGAGCATTTTTCCCACCCACAATGGAGTTAACGAACCATAAAATTATTCACGAGACTCGTTGCAGGAAATGTTCCATCTCTCTTTCCTACAATTTAGATAGCTGTGTATACAAACTTTTCCCTGATAAAAAGCTTAAATAGCCCTCTCGCAAATTATTCCTTGAAATTGTTATTTTCATGCCTCCGTTAAAAATATTTCCATTCCTTATTCTTTTCTTCGTCGGCATTAATGACGTTCGTCGACTTATAAAGCGGTTAAATTGCTTGTTTTAAATAAATAAACAGGTTTCTGTTTGCGTCGTCGCATTTTATCCTCTCGGTAACCATCCATACCGTCTTTGTCTGCCTTTTTTTTATATAAAGCGTCGCCATTCAGAATCAGTATCACGGCTTTCTATAGAAATTATTAAAAAAAGAGCAAAACTTAAGTTCATTTGCGTTGTCTGTCGCGAAGTTGTCATACAAAGACAGACAAGTGATGAAGGGCGAGTAATATGCCTTTGGAATATTCTTTTTGATGTTTCGTTTAAAAGTCAAGCTTTGAGTTTATGTCAAGAATGCTGAGACTAGTTACTTTGTGAATTTTGTGATAAAGGGTAAACGCACTTGACAGTGAAAAGAATTGACAATGTTTTATAAAAGCAGAATAGAGTCACAAAGAAAAGGAATTACATCATAAAATACACAATAAAGAACACTTTAAAATTATATTAACACACTTATCTAAAAAAAAAAACAATGGGACTTAACAAGTGTTAAAAACACTTGTATATAACATCTAAATAATTTTAAGTTGTAGATATTTACCTGGATAATAAATAGCTTCTTTTCTAACAGCATATTTAGCTTGTGGTATCCTTAACGTGCAGATAAATTCTGCCGGCGACGGCAGGTCCGCATCACGCAGCGTGACTGACGAAAATGCCGAGTACCTCCCTTTTGAATTATAATTAAGTGTATGTGAAACACCTTCTAGTCGCCTAGAAAAAGAAAGATTTAATCACAAATTTGCAGACTTTTTAATACTTAAGTATAGTCACTATTTACATATATGAACAGTGCGATAAACGCATTTTAAAATAACAATTATAATTTTTGCTGATATCTTTTAAATGTAACATATTTTAAATAAAATACTTATAAAACTATTCATTATTTTAATTAAACATAACATTAGAAGTCCATGAGCGATCCATTAATGATAATATTGCAATACACATGACGTATAAAATGACCTATTTGTTTCAAAGTGTTTTTTACTGTAATTTGACATCATATATTTATTATAATATTAAAAAAAAACTAAATATATCGTCTCACTGTACTGTATGACTTTTTCAAAGATTAAACCTATTACTAATAATGTTATGTGACCTATAATATTATGTTACATGCTATTGTATACTATTATGTTACTATATTACGTGGCTCTATTTTCACATTTGAGCTTCATTGCACTACTCGCCTGTTACAATATCCTGGGGATGAACAGAAGCACTGACATATTGCATTCTTACTCTGACACTATACTAATAAATTCAATTTCTTTTAATTTGAATAGAAATTTTTTTTGTAATCTTTATAATGCTCTATTCATCTATTGTTCGTAAAAGTGTTACTTGTATTATAATCTTGATGTCGAAACAACTAGCAAGATAACATTCAAATGTCACGTCACTAGCAAACTTTAGTTTTCAGAAGTTTTAAGTGTCTCTATATAATATTGCGAATATTTTCTTTTAGATAGAAAATATATCGCTATTATACTAAAATCAAATACGAAATATTAGCCACTCATATCTATACTAATAATAAAATTGAAGTGTTTGTTTGCAATTTCAAATTAATAGCTTGCCACTAAATGTATATGAAAGTATACAGTATTTATATCAAAAAAGTATTATAAAGTATTTTGTCTCTCTGTCTGTCTTGCTTTTACTAATCTCTGAAACTGCTGTACCGATTTTGACAGGCTTTTCACTCGCAGATAACAAATGTTATAAGGAGTAATTTATTTCAGAAATTATATTTATTAAAATTCCATCTGGACAAAGTCACGAATAAATTGATATAAAAACACATCTATTTTATATCAAGGCATTGTTGCATGTTACTGTACCTGATACACCTTTTAAGATATTGTTTATATATTTTTTTTTCTATTATTTTTTACAGAAAAATATTTTACATGACAGATATCTTTGGTTGTCTATTTTTTATTTAAATAACAAAATTAGTATATATATATATATATATATATATATATATATATTTACTAACATTATAACACAGTCCCTTCGCTAACAATTACGTTATTTAATACCTCCGTTACTTTTACTTGAAATTATGATTTATGTACAAGTCATGGAGTCGTCCAAATATAAAATTTTTGCATTGAAAAATTACGAATTTTTAGATGTACATACGTAGACATTTTAGATGTACATAAATACAACATTGTGCATAGAACATCGAGGCTAACAATACAATTACATACAACAATGAAATTGAGGGAAGCCCCGGGGAAATCCAAGTTGAAGGAAAGTTCCATTCTAACGATAGTCGAAGATTGAAAGGAATTAGAGAACAAATTTGTAACACCCCGCTACATATAGTACTAATATATGATAATAGTGAATAATTTAAAATAAAACAAATTGTAAAACATTAGCTTTCAATAATTGGCACAATAAGTTTTAAACGAGTGATTGAATAAATAGAAATATAAATAATCTTTATTTAAATAAACTCAGTGCAAGCACTTTTAAATAGCCATATGTTTTATTGTACCACTCATTCAGAATGCATATTCATGACAAGAAGAATGAGGAAAAACTTATTAAAAATAAATTACTACGACGATAAAAAATTGACTATTCAAAAATTCTTGTAGTAAGTTGATTTTAATGAATATTTTTTATGTAATAAGCTGTACGAGACGTCCATTATGATGTTTATTCTGTCAATTTTTTTTTTATATATTATGTTTTACGGCTCTGGATACAAGTTCTTTTAAACCCCACCTTAACAAGTAAACTGAACTCGATGTTTTGCAATACACATGGTTACAAAAATTAAAGTAAATTATAACTATATTTCAACTATAACTTCTGAGTAACTACATATAATTTTATATACATATAATTGCACACAACGCTTATCAGCTATCGCTTCCCGCAATGCGGTTATTATATGCGCTGGTAACCCCATACATCATGACGGAGCCATTCTAACCTGATCTCTATTGAAACATATCCAATATTCTTATGCAACTCAAATTTACAAGAAAGAGAATGTTGAAAAGACCAAGTTATTTTGGACTTGGCAAACTTGTTAACCGATCCACTGGAAATTAGACGGAAATCACAGGAAAGAGAAACTTCCATGTTTGGCATTTGGAGCGGACTTTGGGGGAACGCAAATGAAAATTATTATTGACTAGCAAGCCGCCCCGGCTTCACTCAGTGTACCTATATGCGGTAAGGATGGTAGCGTTGAGAAACTCTTTTGATAATATATTCTAAGTATATTTTTTGTATTTTTTAATCAAAAACATATAATACAAATTCTAAATAATATTTTTCCAGTTATAAATAGTTTAATTACATATTTTTACAGCAGGCATATGATGGTAGGGTATCTCTAATTTTGTAACAAAAATATATAAGCCGTGTTTAAATCAAGTGTAATTTTACTACATCATATGGAAGATTTCTTAAAATCTGTTAATTGATGCTTGATTGCTTAAAAAATTACTTAAGAATACCTTTTTTTTAACGCCTGAAAAATATTTCACAAAGACAATTGCTCTACACGAATTTGTGTATCTGTGTATGAGTCGCTGTTACCTAAGTCATGGGGTTGCATTAAAAAAAAATTAGTTACCTACAACGACGTTAGCCTGTCCTATAGATGATGTAGGACAGTCCCCTACTTGTTTGTTAGGACGATAGGTGAGATAATACTAGACAATTATAATAAGTATCTATATTCATTGAAGATAAAAAAAAATTGCAAATTGAATTTTAATATAAAGTTTTTTTTTTATTTATCCACGAAGCACAAACAAAATAATCAAATGTTGCCTCTATATAAGTTTGGTCGTACAGATATTTGTTATCATCCGTGAAATGAAATGGGTTGGCTAATGTTTGAACTTCATACAGGATTGTGAATATTGTTTATTGTAATTGATTAATTCATAAGTTTTCAATTTTCATTGTGTGTTATGTTATTGAAAATTTGATTTCCAACAATACCTCATAGTTATATATTGATTTCAGTAATTTATTATTAAATAAATAATTCTAGTGTTTTATTATATTAGAGAGTATATTTAAGTAGCTAATTCAAATTGTATGTAGATCAGATATAGACCCATTTTCTTAATGTACTTATTAAAATCTAAACTAAAACTTTATACAGAGAGAATACATTAATTCGTTAATTGTAATTAGTTAAGTTTTAAAGAAGTGTTCTTATAAATTCTAAATCCAATATAAAAACAAATAACTAGAAAATAATAATGTACTCTCTATATGAAAAAATGAATTCGCTAAAACGGCCTGAGTGGTCTAGCAGTTTAGCACATTGCCATACTTCCGATAGTCACGGGTTAGATTTCTCGCATGATACAAACATTTATGAGTATTATCTGTCTGGGTGTTTTCTATACATTATATAAAAAATGTGTTAATATCAGTTATCTGCTTAACTTAGGACAAAATGCGCTGTGTGAATTGTCCTGAGCTAAAAAAATCACATCCTATTTTCAGATGCAGTGCACTGATATACAAAATGGCAACGCCATTTAATACGAAACATCGAGACAGGTACCATAAAATTATTCGTGTTAACAATATAAATATAGATTTTGGTGTCAATCGTCAAGCTATCAATTGATATAGGTATGACATGTGTTTAAAAAAAATATACCTCTCCGGCGTGGCGAGTGTGAGGTTCGGCGCCGGATACGCCCCGTCCGCTGCGCAGATGACATTCACCGTGTCGTCATCCGTCTTGTTCTGAATCAACCGGAAATTCGTCTCCGGTACTGTAACATTACACTTCTGTTATATATAAAGATGTGTACATCCATATTTATATCTTATTAATATTATAAAAGTTTGTAAGTATGGGTGTTTGTCACTCTTTCACAACTACTGAACGGATTTTGATTAAACTTTACAGTAATATAGCTTAAGCATGAGAATAACACATAGGTTATATTTTATACTGAAATTTAATACCAGTAATATTATAAACTCGAAAGTTTGTGAGTATGAATGTTTGTTACTGTTTCACGCAAAAACTACTGAATGGATTTTGATGAAACTTTACAGTAATATAGCTTATACATCAGAATAACATATAGGCTATAAATTTCCCGCGGGTGAAACCACGAGCACAGTTAATTATTAATAAAAAAATATGTCTCGGCGGCACTTTGTGCGGTTCATGACTTAAATGGTGAACGGAATAAAATGACATGCAAAAGTATTGTATTTGTATGAAGACAGAAGTAATAACTAGTATTTATGTTATAATTGTATCTTGACGGTTAGTTGAGCCGTTAACTTAAAATCAAATATCTTTACAGGCGATTTAGCTGAATAGTTTAGGATCGCATAGAAGACAAATTTACAAACATACATTTTGAGTTATATAAAATAAGTAATGTGCAGGTTATATACAGACAAAAATGTCAATGACCCCACTATACAAGTTTTCCAATGATGTCTCTGTACAGACAAGTACAATGTCCACGGCTATATTCTACAATATCTATTATTAAATGCAATAATAGTATTATAACAAAAATATTTTACTAGTAAAACATTATATTAACAAAAAGTACTATATTTTATCAGAGAAATATTTTTTCTTTTATCACACAAAACGATATAACGTTGACTACAAGGTACAAGTGACCTAAAAATATGGATGTATGCGAGAAACTCTTTTGTTTGCAGCGCGATGAAAAAAAACGTTTGACATGTTGTCTCGTCATGGTTTCCGATTCCCAATAATTCAACATACGATCGACAAAGGCATCATATTAAACTTTGAATTCAGTCATTATATTTTGTAATTATTCGTCAATATCTGCTGTTTTTTGATGTAATTCACTATATAAAGACTGCGACATAAATATAAGAAGAATGTTATGGTAAAATAAATTTTAATCGGAAGCCATTTTATAGTCGAAATAATATTTTGAATTTCGAATAATTTAATACTCTAAATTCAAAATTGGCAATGACAAAATTACAATATTTTTTTAATGCAATATGCATTAAAATATGTTTTTTTTATTAATATGTTTTACGGCTCTGGATACAAAAATATTGGTTAACCATTTGTGTTGCCTCATTATTCTCAATGTCACTTTCATTTCATAGAGTTGCAAGTGAAAACTGAAAGAGATGAGCTAAAGATTGTGGCCAATGCTGTATTTTTGAAAAGGCTCAGTATTATAAAAGACAGAAACAAGATACTAGCAAAACTAAACCTATATTAATCTGTACATAAACATTAAAAGATTAAAAATCTAATTACCTACACATTATCCAATAAGCCTATTATAATATACGGCGAGTTACGGTCTTTTATTTTCTTAGAAGCCTTAAAAGTGCTATTGGTATAAAAAGTAATGAGATACGGATGACAGATGTAAGACTGTACTGAATGTACTTAACAAAAAAAATAATTTGGTGGCATAATTAATATAATTATTCAGTTGTGTAACATATTGCCGATGTATCAGGTTTAGATTTTGAGGATATATCCACCCAACCATTCAACCAAAAAGTGGCTTATAATCTTGACAAACAAGCAAATAAATTTACATTTTTATTTAAAATATTTTATTTTTCACAATCGTAATAATAAACGGGAAAGTTTGTTAGGACGGATGTTCGTTGGGACAACTTTTTATTTCTGTTATTCATCATGTAAATGAAGTCACGAGTAGAAGCTAGTATAATATTATTTAGTACGAAAGATTTACTGGAGAGATTTATAAATCACAACTTTGTTTTACACTATGTATAGTGTAAAACAAAGTTGCGGTCGCTATCTGTCCGTCCCTATGTATGCTTAAATCTTTAAAAGTACACAATGAATTTTGAAGCGGTTTTTTTTTATTTGATAGAGTGATTCTAGAGGAAGGTTTATATGTATATTACATGTACACCCGGACGAAGCCGGGACGAGTAGATAGTATTCTAATATAGCTAAAAGAAAAACGATTTTATTACATTTTGATAGGAATTAATTTCACACAACCGCACAAAGTAATGACAATTTCAGAAGGCTTCTGCGAATCGAAATGATTTTGTTCCATCACTTTGTTTATTGTGTTATACCATAATCAGGAAATGGAAAGTTCAATATTATTTCTTTTTTATTGTTTATAATTTAATTTTCCTCAATAGTAACCAATATTTTCTATATATCTTATATGTATATGATAAATCAGTAATATATGTTCTTAACTGCACTTTGAAATCTATACATATAAATAAAATTGGAATGTCTGTTTGTAATATTTAAATAATCGTTTTTTATTACATGCATATGAATATAAATATGGACATACACCAAAATAATATTGTTTACAATTTTTGTCCGTCTGTCTGTCAGTCTGTTTGTTCTGGCTAATCTCTGAAATGGCTGGACCGATTATGACGGGACTTGTTTGGCAGATAACTGATGTAATAAGGAGTAACTCGGTTACTTTTATTTTAGAAAAATAAAGTTAAATTCCACGCGGTCGAAGTCGCGGGAACAGCTAGTACTAGTAAAGTTAATTGTATACAAAGTGAGCAAAGGTGGATCTTATCTCTAAAAGAAATCTCTACCAGTCAACTTAACAGTGAAATAAGTCTGTAAAATCATTTATTTCAACAAGATAAAGTTGAAATAAATGATTTTACAGTCTTATTTCAAATCAAAACTAATTAAAATATCTTAATTCGTATATATATCGTAGACTCTTATGATATGTCAAATCAAATAAGGTGATAGAGCATCTTATTTTACATGTAAAAATCAAATAATAGTAATAATAAGACTTACGCATTTAAAAATATCTAAGCTAACAGCCGAATATCGGGATTTTTTTTAAAAAACAAAAAATTCTTATATCTTGAAAACGGTTAGATTTAGGATAGTGAAATCTGTCAGAGATCATGTAAATTATACGCCCTTAATGGGAATAGGTCAACTTAACCAGGCAACCTGTATATTTTGCCTAATATATTTTTATGACATTTATATTAGTGCACCCGCCAACAATCTTTCTCTGCACCACTCATGGGTGACTGGTAGATAACGTCGCTAGGTGTTAAGTCCGCTATATGTACACTTTATTGTTATGCATTTAAGTTAAATAAATAAATAAATATATCCAGAAAATATAGATTAATATGTTAGAAATTGTAAATATTGTATATTCGTATGGCAATGCGTAACGCGTATTATTGACTCAAGGAAACTCTGTGCGTTGATGTACGTCTATCAATGCCCGAGCTTCTTTTGTTTCAACTAGAGAACAGTTTCAGAATCTACTGTATTTCCTTATTTTATGGTTAGCGATATTTAATGATACACTGCGCAAGTAGGCACTGAAACGAATATCAGAGGTATATACACTTTTTATAGTTGCAAATTTGTTATAAAGAGGTTGTGAAGGATTGAGATCAAGATGACGCGCAAAAAGTAAAACGGCACCGTTGTAGTATGTAGAATATTTTTTTATATTAAATTGACTTATGTCATATAAAAACAATATAATATTATAAGAAATATAGACAATAAAAAGGTATATAAAATAGTTTCCAACAGATACCTCTGTTCGCAAAAAAGGTATATTTAACATTGACTCATGAGCAATTCAACGAAATTTCGAAAATTTTGTTAAATCAAGGAATTCGAAAAAGTTGCAATAACTTCTTAGGACTAATAATGGTTAATAATGCTGAATTAATAAAATTTATTGGATTCTTGATTTGTAATACAACTATTAGAATGGATCATACTTGTTTAGGAAACCATAGAAAATGAAATTGTTTATTTTGGATTTATCTTTTAATTTATTTAAAATTTGAATTTTAATGCACTCAGTAAACAACGATTTAATAATTGACTTTTTATAAGTCAATAAGTAATAATTTATTGACTTAAAAAAAGTCAATTTCCATAATTCGGTATGGTACTGGTATCTTATTCGAAGTTAGTATACAATTTAATATATCACTAACATTAGATGTGTAAAGTAAGACTGTTTATTCGTTTTTCTGTTGCCTCTTGGAACTTGAACGGCTCAACCAATCGTTATTTGCAATGTAAAAATGTATGACTTTTATTTTTAATAATTAATTTATCTCATTGACGCCAACGTACTCTTAATATGTATAGAAATAAAAATCTGATAACTTACCAAACACAATCATCTGCTTAGTTCTAGAGTCTTCTTCTAGAAACGTCGAAACTACACACGTGTAGTCACCCGAAATTTCCGTATCGGGCTTAATTATACGTATTGCCCGATGCATTTTCAGGGGGTCGCTCGATGCTCTATAAGTTAAATCGACTCGACCCCTCAAAATGCCCATTTCCTGCGGTTTCTTTGTCGCAATCCACTGATATACTGGTTGGTTCTTGTTTTCGAAGAACCATTTCACTACTAAACCCGATGTATTATTACCATACGTATAATCACAGTCTAGAATTACAGAATCTTGAACACCGTACTGGATAATTTCTGGAACTACTAATTTTACTATTTTCACGGCTTCAAAACCTGCAACAAAAGAAATAAAAGTGTCATTACATTTATTTTTATGTATTGTATAAACCTAGATGCCAGTCAGTGATTTATTAAGACTAGTGTCTTATAAGACAGAATCTGTTATACATTTCATTAATATATGATATAATAACTATTTTAATTTGCAGTTCCATTAGATCAACTATCTATAAAACCTAATATAGCTAAAATTAAAATAGATTGTTTTCTCATTAGATAGCTCATTATAGATGACTATAATATATAAGAAAAGTCAAATATAGTCTAAAGTTCAGCATGGAAAATAAAATAGTTACTAAAAGTGACAACTTTAAAATGTGATACAGCAATTTAATACAGCCAGACAAGACGGGAATGTTCCCTGTATGTTTCAGGTTATATGTTGACATTGCATTATTTGAAAACAGAAACTTCTTTAAAAAATCTAGAGATATATCTAGTAACTCATAAAAATGAGATATATATACAAATATAAATACAATTTGTTTACTGGAATATTATGTACATAACGTCTTAAATATATAATTATTCCAAATATTTGCTTGCCGTTACCGGTATTAAAAAAATTGCAATAATATTTTAAATTACACTATTAGTCTGAGAGATACAATATGATAGTCTAAATAAAAATAATTATTACAATCCATTATACAAATACTTTATTATCATCTAAATTATAGCATTCATATTCTTACTTTACTATTATATTATTTCTATTTAATATCGTCAAAAGCCTCAGCGAAAATTTATAAATAGCATGTACAAACATTAATCTTACATTTCTTGAGATAGCATGATCGAAATCATTAACACCAACCGTACAAAATCGGGGCCATTCCACTAAAATAACCCCGAGGAAAATCTTGAAGGTTGCAAAGTTTATTATTTCAAAGTCACGACCCAAACTGACAACGCATTACCAGAGGCGTCAATAATAATAAATCGCGGAATAATATTGATGTGGAGAGAGCACCAGAATATTTCGATGGTAATGTAAACAATTAATATTCAACTGGCAACAACAAACAATTTGCTGGGGACACTTACGCCCTCAAGTTTACGCTTAAAGAAAATTCCCTACAGTTAATCCATATCCATCAGTCTTGTAGTCCGGGTAACCATTAATATTTATGCAATTCCCAAGTCAACGTTGTTGAAAGCTTATTTAAATTCATCCATGCTCCTACTTAAAAGCGAGGCAGACACGACCTAAAAATTTGATTCGCTCGCACTTAAAATTTTATCAGTGGACGTTTTAAGTAAAGTAAATAGAACGTTAGATAATGAATTCGCGGAGCCGTTTCGTTTATTCTTCGTTATGTTCTTAAACGCTTATGTACGTGACGTATATTTATATTTAATTACGGTTGTTTACTCATATTGTCACATTTTTGTTACTAACCAGGTGTAATTTTCTCGACAGAAAAAGATAAATATTCATTAGAAAAGAGTTTCCCCTATATATATATATAATATTGTCGTAGCAATAAGAAATTATATATTTAGATTGTACCTTTTGTTGTTGCGTATCTTTGTACATACTTTATTTAAATTTATTGTGAAAAGTCAAAGGTGAGAAGATACTGAAGAAGAAAAATACATAAGTAATGCATGATAAATTGTAGCAGATATTTATTATACCAATAAACACTATCATAAGTTTATGTGATAAATTTAGGATTATAGTTATTTGTCGATGTCGATTTATCATTTTGTCATGTTACCTTCTGCGAATTATGGTTACTAGATAACTGATACAAATACATACATATATTTACTTTCGTAAATAAATACATATTATACATAGAAAACACCCAGATCGATACAAACAATCATACTCACGAATACAAATGTTTGTGCCATGCGAGGAATCGAACCTGCGACCATCGGAAGTAAAGCGGTGTGTTAAACCGAGGCCGTGAAAAATTACAAATACTCTTATTTCAGTATAATATCATAACAATTGTTTTATCTGTGTCCGTGGAATAACGCTTCAATTTTATTTGTCAGCTGTAAGCCATTTGTCAAAGGACTTTATCCGTTGGTACGTTTCGAGTCTACAGCATGATTCACGATTCAGACAGAGTAGGATCAATGCTGTCATAGCATTAAGCCGTGTTCTCTGAGTATATCATTTCAAAAATATCTATAATATTATGTACTGTAAGGCTCAACAGTATAACAGCATTATGGTCGTCGTTGTTTTTAATATTTATGTAATCACTAGCTGCCCCGCGCGACATCGTCTGTATCACACTTATCATTATATATCGCCCAATTTATATAATATATTTTTAAATTATAGCATATATGATATTTAGCTCCTTAAGGGTAAAATTTTTACAAACTTTGAATGCCATATTTAATCAAGAGCCTCAAAAATAAGTTTCAAGCTTTTAGCTTCAAAAATGACGATTCTCTCTTCTCTCGCATTCAAAAATAGCCTATGTCCCTTTTTAGGCTCCAGACTATCTGTGTACCAAATTTCATTTAAATCGGTTCAGTAGTTTTAGCGTGAAAGCCAGACAGACAGAGTTACTTTCGCATTTATAATATTAGGAAGGATTACATAGTATAAAACAAAGTCGCTGTCGCTATCGCTGTCTGTCCGTCACTATGTATGCTTAAATCTTTAAAACTATGCAACAGATTTTGAAGTTTTTTTTATTTAATAGATAGAGTGATTCAAGAGGAAGGTTTATATATATAATACTTGTACACCCGTGCGTAGCCGGGCGCGTAGCTAGTTGTAAATAAGTTTTAAGTACATTTGTTTTATTAGCATAGGTGGCAAATTAACTTACGGTTCACCTGATTGTAAGTGACTACCATCGCCCATGAGCATCTGCAACACCAGGGGAATTGCAAGTGCATTTCCTCCCTGCCTTTTAAGAAGGAACCTCTTTTCATGAATGTTTCAATATTGTAACGGAAATATCATTGCTGGAAGGTACCACAATGTGGTCAGGCGTGGCACGATGTTTCTAGAAAAACTGACGGTGGAGGATCGCCATTCATGTAGATGATCAGGATGGTATTTTAGTTTCTGGCGTAGTGTGATGGTGAAATTCAGTAGCCGATATTAATTCGAACAATTCCTCAGATTAATTTGTTTCATAAAACTTTATTAACAGTTGTATCACGGCCTTGGTTGTTTAGTCCGCCACCTTCCGTCCTATGGTCGCGAGTTCGATTTGGGTTGAATGCATTAGGCATTAAATTCGCCTTGTATACAATTTTGTTTGCAAAAGTATAAATAAAAAAAAATAATCAGTAATAATAATGACCTATAAATATCATTAACTACATGAATTAAAAAAATTAAAACATATATCATAACAATTTTATCCAATGAAATAAAAAAGGCGATATTTGGGTACAAATAAAAATTTAACGGAATATTGCATTTCTCTCCAAGTATAGATTGCTAAATTATTCATAACCCAGTATTGGATTCCATTATAAATTATTTCGGCGTTTACTGAATTTTTTCCTCTGAATTATAATGGTCATTAGCAACAGGGTATTTTTAATAGATGATATTTAATATTAAAGGAACTCTGCAACCAATCTCTTTATCGAATTTCTATCTTGCGAATGTATTTATCTAATTATATCATACTAGCTACTCGTCTGGGCTTCGCACGGGTTTACATGTATCATTACATAGTATAAAACAAAGTCGCTGTCGCTGGCTGTCCGTCCCTATGTATGCTTAAATCTTTAAAACTAAGACTGTTGTATAAACGTTATTTAAAGCTTTAAAAGTAATATATTAGAATAAAAGTTTCCGATTAAATAAGTCGGTATCGCAGGTACACTACCCCGCTATAGATGGTAGGTAACTTTATTTGAAAATTTGATACAATAGAATAGAAAATCATTTACAAAATTATTTTTTTAATCTACCGCTCATTCGGAAAGCTGTCTCATCACAAGAAGACCGAGCAAGAAACTCGTGTGTTGCTCTTTTAATTACACCAGTTAAGTCTACGGGAATTAAAAATCGGACTATAGTTACCTGTGACAAATGTACTTAAAAATTAACATTATTTCTTTCCGACAGTGTAAAAGGGAAGGGTACTTTAGTTGACATTTGCGGTCGCTACAATGCAACACAAGTATTACGACTGAATACCAGGTGCCCTGTCGGAGATAACGAGTATAAACCCACTTTAGAGGGAGGTGACCGTCGTCTGTCTGCGCCAGTTGGGACGTGAATTGCATTCCGCCGGGTAAATTACAACCATCCAAACGTCAGTCATACAAAACAGATGTATAGCATACGTTCACCCACGACTTTATTTAACACTAGCTGTACCCGCGACTTCGTCCTATTATAAACTTTATTTTTCTAAAATAAAATAATGTTTCTAAAATATAAGTAGCCTAAGTTACTACTTATTATATTAGCTACCTGCCAAAAAAAATCCCGTCATAATCGGCCGAGCCATTTCAAAGATTAGCGGGAACAAACAGACAGACAGACAACAATTTAAAAAAATGTTATTTTAGTATATGTACCATATTTATATTCATATGCATGTAGTAAAATACAATTAACAGTATTTAACAATTTTTAGATAAATTCATTAATAACCCAGGATAATTCACACACCGCCATCTAATCCCAAACTAAGCAGATCTTGTGTTATGTATACTAGTCAACTGATAGAAATACATGAATATTTTTTTACCATATATACGATATATACTCATAATATACATAAAGAACAGTGTTTGGATCGTGCGTAGAATCGAATCCTCGACCGTCAAAAGAAATACAGTCCTTAACTTATAATGTGCCGCCAACATTTGTATTCATGATTGTATGATTATATGTATATGTAAATAAAATATATTTACTTATTTCTACTAGTTGTCTAGTACCCATAATACAATTTCTGTTTAGTTTGGGGCTAAATGGCGCGGCGGCGTGTGAATTAACCACTATATTTTTAATAGATGATAATGGAATTGCACACCGGCTTGCG